TACCCACTTCGGAAGAATGGAAGGCTGAGTCAACCTTGAGCTTGGTGAGATTTTAACTGCCAAATTGCAGGCTGCCAGCAGTCAGCAGAAGTAGCCTGCAGTACTGCACTCTAACCACTGCACCACCACGGCTCATAAGTAGAAGTAACATTCCAAACTTTCCCCTAATTTGAGCTAACTTGCAATCGCTGTTTGAAAGAAATCCCTATTTTAGTAACAGCGAGTCATACAATATGGCAGATGTATTGGGCAATTTTGACTAGGCAAATGATTCTGTGCTTATTATTGTTATGATAATGGTTCAATATTTTTTAGCTTCAGTGGACCAATAAGAGGACTGACAATGTCCAAATAAAACCTATGCTAAGGAAACATGTTTGTGTTATTTATGAAGATTCCATTTTATTACAATAGTAGCGCCTCTAAGATCAAGATAGTTACTACTCCTTGGATACCAAAGATGCAATGGTTTGATATGGGCATAGTTTAATCACTACAGAACCAATTGTAAATGAGCCTCTGTAGCTCAACAAGATTATGCAAGTCCTTGGAATATGGATCCCTAATGTACAACAAACTGAACTCAAAGCATGCCCGGGGGGGCGGGGGTGTTAAATAGACTGAAGGAAAAACATGAATGTTTTTTTTTTCTTGTTTAAGACCATACTTCAGAGAGTATTTCAAAGAGAATAAGCATTCCCAGGATAATGTCATATAGCAATTTTTATTACAGAAGGAAAGACAGGAGAAAGGTAAGCGAGAGCAAAAATTTGGTTCCCCAGAGCCTTTGCAAACTTTGAAAAACTCAAGTGTTCAGATCTTATTTTCAAATTCACAGAAATATTCACTAGAAAAAAAAGACAATTGTAACTGTGTCTGCAAATTCCTACACACAGTCCTCCATATTAGGAATTAAAGTACAGAACAAAACCATGAAACTTGTTTCTGAATAGACATGCAGCAGATAAAATTTTATTGTAATTATACTTTCAGAAATCTCAAAATATGAGCTCCAATCTTTTAAAATCTTGTAAATATTATGACTAATCAAAAGTCAATATTGCATTCAAAGTCATTTCTGTTGCTTATAATAGCAACTGTGTTATGCCCTCCATGTTCAGATATATTTCATAGCTGTATTTTTCTTTGCATTATCTTTTGAAGGGTAAAATACACAAAGCTCTCTGGTTCAATTAAAAAATTACAGTTCAGGGAATCGAATACATGCACTAAAACAAAAGATTATTGCTAAAGCAATTCTTCATTCACATATTATTTTCTAAAACAATCAGAATATTACTAACAATTTCTGCCTTATGAATAAAGCTATTCCATCTGAAATAGTGATGTTTTGGAAAATCGAACTTACCGGTACTGCCAGCCTGTTACAAGATTTGTATATTTCATTAAATAGCCAGAAATGTTTTCCATGTGATCACTGTGGCAAATATAAGAACAGAGTTCATCAGCTATAGGCAAATAACAACAATTAAAATACCTCACATACATGCTGCGTAATTTCATATTTGATAGAGTAATAGAAGAGACTTCGTAACTCAGCGCAAATCTCAAACGACTTTTAAAACAAATTCCTGCAAGCTCTTGCTCCTTGTTTGTCTTTGCAGAATTGATTTAGAACTGAGATGCTTTAAATCATCTACCAATCTGAAAACTGGGACCCACGTTACTGATGCATAAACTACTGGAATCAGTAACAAATTATTGGACACCTCTCGTTTATAAAGCTTCAATATTAAAGATTAAATTACTAAATACCCTTCAGCTTTCCAACCTTAAGGAAAGGTTTTTGGGCTCTTTAACTATTATTCATTATGAAAATGGAAGTTGATTAAGGTTAAAAGAATATCTTTAAAATTGAACTATACAAATAAATCAGTGGCCACTATTAATTAAGGGAAAGTACATTTAAAATTTTGAAATGATACACAATTCTTGGACTCCTGAGTATCTATCATAAATCATCAACATAATTGAAGACTTTTATTTTGCTTTGTGTGCCACATCTAGCTTTTCTTGGTGTACTGATCTGTTTTTTAATATGAAAAAACCCTTAGTTTTAAAGCAACATTTAATACAAAAAAAAAAAAATATATTCCAATTTTCAATCACCTTTATTTCCAAAAACGCCTTTTCCCTCATATTCCATTTCCAACATCCATAGAAAATAAAAATGGTATTCTCTTTGTGGTATGCACTTAAATAGAAGTTAAGCAGAACTACAGGAAAATATACTAGGAAAAAATATACTAAGCAATACAAAGGGAGGACATTTGTCCAACAGTGCTTTATACGGTAACTGTTAGACTTCCCCTTTAAAGCCATTTTATAAATGTGCAAATTCTCCCTACCAAACAAATTTCCAAATGCAACCAACAGCCAAAACGAGTAACTAAAATAGGTGCCAATAACTGGCACTTATTATGTCACATAGTTTGGGTAATGAAATATCTGCAAGAAAACAATCCAGCTCAGAGAACACCAAGGACCCTTCACTAAAGTATGTACATCACAGAGCAGACCTACTCCATGTTATGTATGTCCTCCTATACAACATCTTTGCACTGTTTCATAGGAATTATATTAATGTCTCCCTCAAACAAAGTTTGTCCCCTTCTGGGTAAGCAATAGAGAAGTGGTTTGCCATTCGAGTTCAAAGCCAGTTAGATGCTGCCATCTAGTGGAGTAGCAATTATTAACAATCATAAGGTGCCCACAAGTGGAAAGAAAGAAAGATAGGTGTCCTTGAAAAATGTTCACACACAACCACACACACTTCAAAATACACAAAATTAATTTCTGCCCAGGAGACCACAAAGAACAAATATTCCTGCATCACATTCAAGAAGCTTTGTAGGCAGCAGAGCATTCCTCTAGGAAATTGAAGACATGACTATTTTCTTAAATTCCACAACTCGGGGAACTCGGGGCCTTACATAAAGAAGGGATTTCAAAGAATTAAAGCCAATCTCAGAAACATCTAAGCCCCTTATTAGTTCATAACAGATTAGCACTCCTAGTAGAGCTACACCTGAAGGAAATTTTAGAAATCAGAAGCTACAAATGAGTCTTGCAAATCTGAATTATCATTATATCCTGATCTATGTAAAGTACCTTAAATGGTCAGAGAAACTATTCCAGCCAAGAGATTTAATCACATCGCCACATCTAGATATCAACAGCAAATTATATAAAATTGTTTTAAAGTTTAATAAATAGCTATGAATGGAGATACCGTATTTTACTAGGCTTTTCAACAAAATAAATCAATACAATTGGAAACTGGCCTCCTAAACAGGCAACTGCAATAATTACCTGAAAATGCCTGCTAAATGTCAATTTAACCTATTTTTCATTCAGAAGTCTATGTCACAGACCTGTCTCTCAGAATAATGTACAATGTACTTGAATAACTAAAAGGCATGAAAGGATTCAGAAATATGACTCATTTTAAGTTACTTAATAATGAAGAAATATATCAAAACTTTATTGAATAACCCAAATGATAATATCCAGATACCTAGGAATGTCCTCCCAGGAGGCAGCAGGAGCCACTTTGTCACAATTTCTGAAAGCATATCTGAAAGTATATATTTATTTTTGATATCTTCTCTCCACAGACAATATCTTCGTATGTAATAATGCCTTTGAATTCACAGATTGATTGCTGATTGTGCACCTATTCTAAGGAGTTATTTCAGAATAATTCATGTAGAAAGTGAGAAATTTATGAATGGTGAAGAAGACCAAATTAATTGCCTATGCTCAGTAGAATGAAAGTATATCATAAATCTGGAAGCAGGGGATAACGTATTTGGGGCAGAAAACTGTGGAGGAATTAGGAAGGAGGACCTACTCTGATTTTTTGTTCTCCGTAGAATAATCCTGAGATGAAACCGAGTCTTGCCTGCTACAGAATAATTTAATGTCAGTAGTGTAAACAATTTTAAGAAATTACCGTATGCTTTTAAAACTTTTGTGGTCATGAAACAAGCTGCTTGGCTGAAATCTGAATTTTGGTTCAAAAATTATTTCTTCTATCAAAGCTCATTTGTACTGACATCAGGGCTGCAAAACTGTAAAAATGATATGCATTTGCTAATATACACAGTTAATCCCATTTAAACACATAAATGGCTTTCATAATCAGCTATGCAGGACTTTCACTTAATTAAAATCCTACACAGAATCCTCCACAGAAGACAAAGAGCCTCTTCTACAGACTCAAATCAGGATTAAATTCAAATCCTGATTAAAATACTGTAGAATTAGTTTCAGAGGCTAATTATTTATTTATATGTACGTCCACCATAAGCATCCTGACTCTGGGTGGCTTACAATATCCAAAATAATCAAAAACAAACACTGCAACTTAAATGAAAGCACTCTTAATTGGCAAGTAATTGGCAAGCAGGAACATGCAAATGTTAAGCCTCCTCTGGACAGGATTCCCATCATCCCAGCCCTGGTACCAAAGGAAACCTCCAGGCTGTTAATGTTTTAGTAACGCCAACAGATTTGGGTCCATACAGGGGGGGGGGGGGGGGGGGAATCATTCCAGAGAGCAGGCCCTACCACAAAGAGAGCCAATCACTCTCTTTGAATTTCAATTATTTCTGTAGAATGCAAAGAATTCTTATTTCATGGGAATCAAATTATTCAGTATTTTATAATACATTTTATACACAATTATATTTGTTCACTGAATGCTTGCATATTTTAAAAAATGCTTAATTCCTTTGATGTCTCCTGTACTATATGAGCCATTGGGGGGGGGCAGAGCTGAAATTAAATTTTCCAAAAAATACCATCTTAAAAACAACTCCCAAATAATTACAGAAGTATTTCAACCAATAAATCATCAGAACTGAAATCTAATGAAACTAGAGGAGGGAGCACCTCATTGATTGGCAGCTTTCTTGTTGATGTCACAATGCATCCTACTAACCAACTATAAGCTAATTTCAGAGAAGTAGCACAGAAAAATTAGCAGAACTGGAAAGAAGAAAGCAAGCAGAGAGCATTCAACCATGTCTGCCTCAACACAAAATAATCAGGTGAGTATTCTTAAAGTGGAAGAAACAAAGAACCTCCATATAGTAATATTGTGGCACAGGCTGTGGAGAACTTGTGTCTATCTAAAGTCTTAAACTATTCATCATAAAAGTTGGATCATACGCAAGATCACTATTCTAGTTCTTATTTTTCAGTTTATCAGCTGACCTACTTGCAAATAGGAAGCTGATCTAAAGGTTGTAAAGATCAAAAAAACAAAATGTTATGCAGTGTATAAATAGAATAGCATTTTATTCCTTAATCTAGGGATGTCCTTCAAATATTCTGAGTTAGAATGCTTATCATTCCTTGGCACTGTCAATTTTGCTTCGGCTGACAGGAGTTGTAGATCCAACAGACAGCCTTGCCCAGTCTTATCCTGAAAAGGAATGCAGAGATAACCTTGGTGAAGGAATGTGTAAGCCTGCCTTGGTTCTGATATAAAATGGGGCACCTAGAAACTCTGACAAGCTTTCAAGATTCTTGTTATAACCTGCAATAATAACGTAGCAGTTGATTCCTGGAATCCTTGCAGTTCTGAGTCTTGTCTACCTCAAAAGGGTAACATCCATTTGAAAAGCCTCTCTTAAGTTTTTCTCTGCTTGATCTTACACCAACCAGAATCAAACTGGGGTTATTTTTGATTCCCCACCCCCACCCCTATGCTTTCCACTTTCCTAAGACTGAATTACCATTTCTTGGCCCTTAATAGCTCATCCATTCCTTTATCAAAGTCATCTCTACATTCCTTTACATTCCTATACCAACTTCTGCTGACCAAATAAATCAGAAATACTATGATGCTATATTAATGATTTGGAAAATGAAATACCTGCAAAATTAATCATGGAAACAAATAAAGATATTCAATAATTTGCACAGATGAGATCCAATAGGAGCTTTTCTAAATCAACATTGGAACACAGCACGGTACACAGAGTAAATGGTACAAATAAAAAAAGCAGACGTGGAGGAAGCCTAGCTATTTTTAAAAGCATAAAAGAAAGCAAGCTACCGCAAATTTTATATACCAATCACCTTGCTCATCAGAAGATCAAAAGCTCTCAATTTAATGGATTCTTTGGCAAAACTTCAAAAGTTCAATCTGCATCAGTCCAATTATTAATACTTGTACAATCCTATGCACTGGGTAAGAACATAACAATGCGTACACTGTGCCCTGCAGGATTTGACCCTCTGGCTCATCTAGTCTAGCACATTTCACAGTGGCCAACCAACTGCAGAAGGAAGCCTCCGAGTATCCCAGCAAATGGATTCAAAAGCAGTCATATTCCCATCAGGATTTCCATGACTTGGTCAAACCAGTTTCTGAAGCTAGACAAAAGCTTTTTGAAAGTAATCATCTAATGATAACAAATTCCAAATCTGAATGATAAATTGTCAAAAAAAAAAAAAGGTTAGCCTTTGGTTCTAATATTTTGGAAAAAGGAGAAATAGCTTCTCTTTGTTCATTTTATCCACTACATGCCTAATTTTGTACACTTGAATCCTACCTCCTTTCATTCTCTTTCTTTTTAGACTAAACATCCCAATTGTCATAAGCATTCCTCATGGGAAGCTGCATGATCCTCTCTGCTCTCTTCTGAGCCTTGTCCAATTCCACTATATCTTTTTTGAGCTGCGTTGACCAGGACAGCACACAATATTCCAGATGTGGCCACATAATTGATTTATATAAGGGCATTACGATAATGGCATTTCTATTTCCAATACAATTTCTTATTATGCCTAACATACCATTGGTCTTTTTTTTTTACAGTGGATGCACACTTTATTGGCACCTTTATCGAACTGTTTACCATTACTCCAACATCTCTTTCCTCATCAGTCGCTGCTTGCTCTGACCCCATTAACTTGTATGAGTAGTTAGGCTATTTGGGATCTACATGCATCACTTTGCATTTGCTCATCAAGAACAACTTCTGCCATTTTGACCCGTACTCCCCCCTAATATGCAAAGGTCTCTCTGAAGTTCTTCTCAGTCCCTATTTTGTTTTTACCGCTTTGAACAATTGAATGTCATCAGTAAGCTTGGTTATTCTACTAGTCATCTCCAATTCCAGATCATTTATCAGTGTTAAAAAACACTTGCCCTGTGACAGAACCCCCTGCTAGTTAGATCCCTACATTGTAAAAAAATGTCCATTTAGCAATAGCACTTAGACTTACATACCGCTTCACGGTGCTTCCCAGCCCCCTCTAAATGGTTTACAGAGTCATTCCCCCAACAATCTGGGTCCTCATTTTACCCACCTCTGAAGGATGGAAGGCTGAGTCAACCATGAGCGGGTGAGAATCAAACTGCCAAACTGCAGGCAGCCAGCAGTCAGCAGAAGTAGCCTGCAGTACTGCATTCTAACCACTGTGCCACCACAGCTCATCTACAGAAAGTCCTCAATTTACAACCATTTCTTTAGTGACCGTTCGAAGTTACAACAGCACTGAGAAAAGTGACTTATGACTATTTTTCACACTTACAACCATTGCAGCATCCCTGTGATCACAGGATCAAAATTTGGACACTTGGCAACTGGCATGTATTTATGATAGTTGCAGTGTCCAAGGGGTCACGTGATTACCTTTTGCAACTTTCTGACCAGCAAAGTCGATGGGGAAGCTAAATTCACTTTAGAACCGTGTTACTAACTTAACAACTGCAGTGATTCCCTTAACAACTGTGGCAAGAAAGGTGGCAAAATGGTGCAAACACACTTACAACCACCTCCCTTAGCAACAGAAATGTTGGGCTCAATTGTGATTGTAAGTCGAGGACTACCTGTATACCTATTCATTGTTTGCTATGCTTCAGCCAATTGCTTACTCAAAGAGGATCGGCTTTTTATTCCATGGCTGTTAACTGAAAAGTATTTGATGAGGTATTTTATCATAGGCTTTAAAAAAACAAAACAAATGTGTCTCCTGACTTGCCATTATCCACATGTTTATTAATATAGAGTTTGTAACCAGGTGCCCACTGATTTTCTCAAATCTACCAGGTTTCAGTTACATCCATAATATCTATACTATTTTCTTAGACCAAGCATGCCAATTCACCTCCTCTGGCCTATATTAATGAAATTTAGGGTTAAAAATATTTATATGCCATCTCCTGAAAAGCACACACTCTAGTTATGTTCAATTGATCACATATATGATTTACAACATTAAAACACACACACACACGACAACCTTCTTATGAAGGTTTCAATTTTCGTATTCCTTTAAGGAAGCATCTATTCCATCTTTCTATTTATTTTTTTGAGACTAAAGAAAATATGCACAGGAGGAAAATAATCTCGCCAGGTTTGGATTTACTGTTTGTGATTCCAAAGGAAGACATTTTGTCATAGTCATAGATAATTGCATAATATAAATTCTACAACAATTTAAAAAAAAGATGTGCATTCCACTTTATGGAATACTATTAGAAAATGAAATGAAAATAAAATAGTATCGTAATGTTGCAGCATAAAAAAGCCTATGGCACAGACCTATTTCACCATGTCTGATTCTGAAAATCTGATCTGATCTGGCAAAAATCTGATCTGCCAAAAGAAAAGGGGGGGCACCCAAAATCCTTCTGTATAAGAATCTTTTCAAAAAAATGATTTTAAAGCCTTTCTCTCAAAATCGAAAGTCATATTAAAAAGTAGGAAAAAATAACATGGAGATACAGAATAAGTACCTAAAGGTTTTTCCATTATTTGCAATACTGGCCAAAATAATAATGATTCATTTAAAACAAATAAATATTTTTCAACATTTCACCATACATGTATAACATGGAATTCATAGTTTGGGGCTAAAACCTTTTACAGGTCCTTAGATTAATTAATGGAGAGTAGCTTTATTAACAGTTCCCACAATAGATATATTCATACCTCATTTTGACCCTGAGCTACAAATATTCTCCTTTACTAATATTCAAATCTAGTATTAACTCGTACTTTATGTTCATTCTGATTTATTACATTAGACATGAAACTGCTGGCTTGTCCTCCATTCTATAGTTGTTTTTCCTACACTTATTCTCACTCCCTCCTCATGCTCCGATCACCCTTGAAAAACTAAACTGTAGTACAAATACAAGCTCACCGAAATAATTTCCTGCTTATCCCAAACATACCATGTGTAGACTCAGTATATGGCCTTTTTCTGGCTATGCTTGGAAGATCACACACCAAGGGAAATTGAGCCCCTTCTCTTTCAAGCAGATGCCATTAGGACCCTAGATAGCATGATTTCTTAACCCTTCCTTTCTTACTATGAACAAGGAGGAAAAAAGGAAATGCTTCTTCACAAACTTTTTATGCCACCGCTGCCAATGCTCAGTTAACATACTTAAGGAATACACTTTTGACTGTGATTATGTTTCACCCAGATCTATTGTATTGCCAATTCCTTTCTTCCTATTATTGAGAGTGATCCATAATTTTTTTGAATGGGACTACTGTCCATTTTTCACAACATCAGAATGCACTGTACCTGCATACAACATTTGCCTTTATTCCGTGAAGGAACAATTTAGATGCCTTTAAAGCAGATTTGACAGTTTCCCAGAAAATCTCCAGAAAATGCTAGAGGAGAACAATGCAAACCAAAGCTATTGTTACAGGACATTCAGTGTACTTCCTTAGAATCAAAGAGATGAGCTTCAGCCGTTTAATCATGTGCCCCTACAGAGATTTGCCTTCCTTCAGCTTTATTATCTATTGCAGGCTAAGTTTACAGCTTTGCGAATAGTGAGCAATGCTTGTCAGGATGCATAGAGCAAAGCAATCCAGCAATTATATTTAAATAAATGTTAGCAATTAAGCAAGATAAAACTATGCGTTAAACTATGGAATTAAGTTGTAATAATAACAGCCAGCCTGGATGGTTTTTAAAAGGGCCCAGACTAGTTATTTCAGATCAATGAATTCCAATACTGATGGTTGTTTATTACTACTGAATTATAGGCAGCAAATGTACAGCTTTCTATAAAAAAACAATTGAGAGCTTCCCAAATGAATTCAGTTGGTCCCTGCATGATACAATGGGATGGGCTAGATTAATTGTGGTCTTATTCCACTATAACATAAAGCTGAATTATTTTAAGTATATAAAATTATAAAATGATCAAAATCTCTCATGTAATTCTTGACACTCTTCCCTGGATACTGTAGAGAAAGTTACATAAGAACCCTGAAATCTTCTCTGTGTTCTAACAATCAATCTAACATATAAACATTATTTAATATCCATATTCCAGAGAAATTGTCCATGCAATGCCAAGTCATACATAAAAGAAGCCATAGTTTCTTACTCAAAAAATACATCCTAGATTCTTTCATAAAATAGGTTTGGACATGAAATAAGTCACAGAAAAGCAAACCAGAATAAGCTTTAGCACAATTTACAAATATGACCTATAGCTCAAATAAAAGTAAAAGTATTAAAAGTATCAGAAAACTGAACGTGTCATATCTATGGAATTCCATGAAGTAACTTGTTAGTGCAGAGTTGCCACATGAAATTCTGATTCTTTTTTTCCCCAGTCTTTTTTTATTTATTTTTTTATTTTTTTTTATTTGATTTATATGCCGCCCTTCTCCGGAGACTCAGGGTGGTTTACAATGCACTAAGCAATAGCCTTCATCCTTTTGTATATTTATACAAAGTCAGCTTATTGCCCCCACAACTGGGTCCTCAATTTAGAAAGGATGGAAGGCTGAGTCAACCTTGAGCCTGGCGAGATTCGAACCTGCAGTAATTGCAGGCAGCTGGTCTTAATAACAGGGTGCTTTAGACCACTGTACTACCAAGGCTCCTTTTTGGAATAATTTCCAAAATTATTCAGCTCAGTTCATTTTATGCTGCTCTGTGAATGCAAATGACTTCATTTTTAAATTATCAACAATATCACAGGCAACCCTATGAAGACTCAAATTAAAGGGAATCCATTCACCTCAATTCTCTATCAAGAAAATCAGATTTGCAGTAATCTGATTACTGCAGTAACACCTCTCATACAACTGATTTTCTAATTTCAGTTTTAACATACTTTGAGAAATACATTCATCAGTATTGCAACTTTTAAAAAGTTCTTTGTTTGTTAAAATATTCTATATAATTTCAACATGCTGAATCAGTCCAAAGGTTATCTAGTCCATAAATAGTAGCCACCCTTTCCAGGTGGCGTGCATGTTTTTTTCTGAGAAACCCCAAAAACAACTGAATTCAAAACTACAATTCAACTAGTTTTTTCCAGCAATTTTTATTTATAGGCATCCTATCTCTGAACCACGAGGTAATGAGTAACTCTATTATCACTAATGCTCATTAATAACTTTATCCTCCACGACATAAAAAAATGGATAACACATTACACTTCTCAAACCTATCTAAGGTACGCTATTAAATTCTGCTTATGTTTGGTTACACAAAAATAACCCAAGCAAGTAAGAAGATAACAGAGAATATCTTCCATCTTTAGATAACCTAGAGGTTGAATTACTAAATATCTAAGCATCTTTGCTCAGAAATGTAAGTTTAAGTGTTATACAACCTGAAGATCACATTCTATGGATAGTTATTTATTTCCGTAGAGTCAAGAAACTGAAAAATTGATTATGCCTCATTAGTAGGATCTGCTGGCATCACCACTGCAGCTGTTAAATAGAAGTCTTTGATACATATGGAGTTCTTTTTTTCCTTTTCCATCCAAACTTTTGCTCAAAATGAGGATATGCCTAACTGTTTGGAGCCAAGACACTGCTTTATTCTTTACTTTTTATTTCATCCCAAAGAGCCTTTGTTAAATAATGCAACATAGCTGAACACAAGTCTGACTACGTGGCTCAGTGGCTAAGACACTGAGCTTGTCGATCACAAAGGTCGGCAGTTCAGCGGTTTGAATCCCTAGTACAAGTCTCCTGCGTGAGCAGGGAGTTGGACTAGATGACCTCCAAGGTCCCTTCCAACTCTGTAACAGTTACTGAAGTCAGTTATATGTAAGGATTCAAAATGCATTTCAATACTGGATTTTAGTTAGATGGTAGCTAACTAAGGAAACAGCTATGCAGATTACCATATGTTTAATCTTTTGTAAGCATGATTTTGGTCGGGAAATCATACTAACCTCTCTTATCATCTCTGATTAAATAAAAGAACTACCTAGCAATTAAGATGCTGGGCGGTCAACTGGAAAGCTGAAAGTTTGAAAGTCAAGTATGTGTGACGGGGTAAACTCCGTTCTTGCTCTAGCTCCTGCCCACCTAGCAGTTTAAAAGCAGGCAAATGCAAGCAGATTATTTGTACCACTTCAGTGGGAAGGTAACAGTGTTCCGTGCGCCTGTATGTTCAATCATGCTGGCCACATGACCACGGAAAGGACAACCCTAATCCTCCTAGGCTAGGAAACAGAGATGAGCATCAGCTCCTAAAGACAAACACAACTGGACAGGGGAATCCTTCACCTTAACTTTTTACTGTAACCTACTCTCAAAATTTTCTTCCAATGTACAACTTCAAAAACAACTGCCCTTCTCAGATGCAATAAGATTTCTGTTTTGTTCTGTTTTGGAGATGACCATGCCGATGCTAAAATAAACCTACATTAAAATGGTAAATTTATGCACGACTGTCGTTTCTGCCCTTAGGGGCATTTTAAAAATGAGCACTCTGTTATGGACCAGGAAACTATTTATACAAATAATGAGGTGATTTGGTTTGTTCTTCCATTTCTAAGCAATGTGTGTTAGGGAAGGAGAAGTGAATAGGGAGAGAGAGAGAAATGAGAACCTGCACACTGGACTATTTGATATTCAGAGCTAACGCTTATTATATAAGTGACTTACAAGGTGAGAAAAAGTAGAAAAGCTGTTTTGTATAAGATAGAAAAGAAATAGATAAAAAGTATGTTTTCTCCTCATGTACTCTGAACTTCAGAAGCCTTTGCATACTATGAAGATCTATTCTTTTCTTTATGCCTCTGAACAAAAAGAATGCATAAGCCCAATAATTTTTATAGGCATGTTTGCAAAGCTAATATGATCCAGCCATAAATCAATATGGACTCCACACGATTCTTCCCTGTGACATATTTCCTGCTATGTTTCATATCTCCAAGGTTAACATCAATCTTTCAATAACAAGTCATTTGTAAATGAGAAATATACAAAGATACAAAGCAATCTCTTTGGAAGATTTTAATGACTCAAAATATTACCTCTAATATGCACTGCCAGCATTTCACATAATTTCAGATAGCAGTGGCAAAGGACATTTCAAAGTGCCAGATGGGGAATGAAATCATATGAAGATGCCTTATGTTGAGTCAAACTACTGTCCAGTTAGTTTAACCTCACTTGAAAAACTGTTTTGGGGTGTACGGCTCATTGACTCACAGGACACCTCCCAAATGTTTCATGATATCACTGTCTAGTTCAAAGCTTCTTTCAAACTACTGATGAGGAAACAGTGATTTTACTGTCAAGAACAAGACATTTTCTTCACACCTGAATCAATATTTTATCTTTGTATGGAGAAAGGACTTTTCTATTTGCAGTCACAGAAACAAAACAATATGCCCATGGAATTAAAAAAAAACCGAACTTCCTCTACATTTAGAGCATTCTATTCTTTTTCGTGCATGGAGAATTGGGCTGCCTTTTACAAAGCTACATACAGACAATATGGTAATGGAAAAAAACAAATGAACAAACCTGAGTCTCTTCTCCATGATCACTACAGGTAGTCCTTGACATACCCCAGTTCATTAGTGACCATTTGAAATTACAACGGACTGAAAAAAGTGACTTATAACTATTTTTCACATTTACGGCCATTAGGGCATCCCTACCTGTACAGGACTACCTGTGTGCAGAGGAGAAATTCTACTTAGGTTAAATGGGAAGGTCCTCTAAGTCAGAAGTTTCCCTATCCTACTTATTAACTAAAGTGACTGTTCAAAAGTATTCCTACTATGCAAGGGATTGAAGCTGGGGCCTTCTATGTAGAAAATTTATGTTGTATCATTGACATACTGCCATTTCCCAAAGGTCAATTCCTGTATACAGGTAGTCCTCGACTTACAAAAATTCATTTAGTGACCGTTCAAAATTACAATGGCATTGAAAAACGTGACATGACTAGTTTTCAATTATGACCGCTACATCCTTGTGGTCACATGATCAAAATTCAGATGCTTGCCAACTGGCTCATATTTATGATGCTTGCAGTGTCCTGGGATAATGTGATCATCTTTTGAGACCTTCTGACAAGCAAAATCAATGGGTAAACCAGACTCACTTAACAACCATGTTAACAATTGTTAACTTAACAATTGCAGTGATTCTCGTAACAGAAGTGGCAAAAAAAGTCATAAAATGGGGCAAAACTCACTTAACATAAATTTTGGACTCAATTGTGGTCATTAAATTGAGGACTACATGTACTATGCATTCCTCTAAAGAGAAGAAACTGAGCATTTTAAATTGTAGAACTTACTTTGTTTTGTTTTTCTTTTCAGTCACAAGTTAAAACATCTATTTAAGAACTTCACCTGTTCAAGAACCTTTGTCAAGGTCAGTTTGCAGTATATGACCAATTAAGTCCAAATATGATGATTCTTAAAAATAATCTAAGATACAGGAATAACAATTCTTTCTGCTCATCAGAAATAGTAGCAAAAAAACCAAGCCATGTAACTATAAGCATCACAGGAGCAAAAACTAGAAATCTGCATTACAGTATTTTGTCTTTAAGAACCATTTTATGCATTCTTTTAAAACAAATGTATGTCTAGTTGAACCTACTGCAGAAAAGGAATTTACAAATTCACAGGCTGTATACTGGCAAGCTGTTCATGTAGAGATGGAAGGCTGTATTTTTATGTATGGTTGCCTGCAGTAAACAGATAGTGTCTTCTAGTATCTGCAGTCTACCAAATTCTGCAGACAGCATTTTAAGCAGTTGCCAATGAAAAAACTGTAACAATTTAACTGATATTGCTGTAACTTTTTCTTTACTTCTTTGGACACCACCCTTTCCCACGCCTGAGCTAATGTTAGGAACATTTAAAAACTGATATATTTTTTGAAATCAATAAAAGTATGTTTATCCATATAAGTACGTTTCTAGACGTTGCTATGGTTTTAAGAGCAACGAGGGAAGGTCTGCCTACTAAAATGAAAAAATGTATTGTATATAGAGATGGTCAACTAACTGTCATTGACTTCTGCCATGCCTTCAATTGATACTAAGTTGTTGATTTTAGGAAGCAAATTCAGTTACAAAATATCATTGTTACATTCCTGGAAGTCTTGACACAGCTTATGCTTGTGATAAGGAAGCTTTTGGGTTCAGTGGGTAAAAATTCAGAAAATGCCTAACTTGACACTGCTGCTCCACCCCCCTCATGTACACCCCTGAACAAAGAGAAACAATTCCATCCTCCCCCACACACACACACACACGAGGGTCCAAAGGCTGCCACCTTTTTCTCACATAGCCTCTAAACTCACAAGTTAATGGGGCTGCTTTCAAGAATAATTGTCACTGGATATTGGGGAATACTCCCATCTGACCAACAATGTTATGACCTGCCACCTACGATAAATATAACATAGATTTGCTATTACTAGCATAGCCTGATATGATGCAGATATTGTGTCAAGCCATGGTTTGTTTAATTATAGTTTATGAGATAAAACAACTCTTTCCATCCTGTAGTCTGAACATTACTGATGTTCCATGTGGCTATTTGCTGTGTCTATGGTGTAAAAAACAAGACCAATTTTTTTAAAAAATTATGCTCACATGAGACTCATAAACAAAGTTAGTTTCTTTACTAACTGAGAAAGTTGGAATATTCATAAAACTTTGGAAGATAAAACTCATCCAAAATCTTACAGGTTTTCTGGTAATAACATTGAAATATAGTAAGATTTTGGCCATTGCAGGTAAATTTGAGTTCTACCATTTGTGTTGAATCACAAACAACATGGTGCATAGAAATGCTATATTGTCAACCTGGATTATATATTGTAATCCTTAGCATTTTTTATGACAATGAACTAATCTATCCCAAAGGGAAATAACTCACAACTGTTGGAACCTGACAACAAAAAAAGATGAAACCAACATTCTTTATTAAGCCTTACTGAAACATGCATTGTCAAATAGTAGGAAATTAATTCATCGATCCAGCAGCTTCATACACAACATAATTGTCAAATTTGCAAAATGAATTTGGATTTATTGTTTACAAGAACATAGTCTAATCCTTCTGGTTTAATTCTTTTCACTATCAAATAAAGCTAAATTGTTCAGGAACCATAAACTCTCATTATGATCAACACAATATCCTGATTTGTCATTCTTGTAACAAACTCAGGAATTAGAAATCCATTTCAAACAATGGTTTCAGATTCTGGTTTATCTGGGGAGTAATAAAGTAGGAATTCCGCTTCTGAAACAAAAGAGTTTCCCCCTCACACTCAATTTCTGATGAGTTTAGTCATATCCACTGACAACTAGGGGCAACTATATAGGATGCATCTATAGTCCTCCTGAAAAGTGTTAAGCAGAGTTGTAACATCATACAATCTTTTTAAATTCAAAGACGGGCTTTTATTTAAAATTAAAGTTAGAGTAAGCTTCTCTTTCAACATTCTCTGATTCAATGTCATGCAATTTCAGATAGATGCCGAGATACTTCATATCAAAAGCATATTAAATTATAGATTCAAGTTAATATAACTGTATTATGGTCCCTTATAGTTATTTTCGCAGTATGTATGTTCAAATGTCTGAAAGCGACAGAACAGTTATTGTAATATTATTGTAATTTCTATTTGCATTCAAGTTAGAAAAAACAATCAAATACCTATTTTTGAATTTTTTTCCCCCTCTAGCTTTGTTTTTCACATGGGATATTTGCTCAAAATGTAAATCAAAGGCAAGTGCTGACAGCTATTTTAGGAACTGCGTTGGGTGTCAGACTTTAGATTTTCTAATCTCATGTCTAGAGCATTCAAGTGTAACAACAGGGTTGTTTTTTTTTCTTTAACAGCACCTATTGCTGATAAATTTGACAGGCTGCTTAAACTGACTTTCAATTACCAGACAAGTTAAACATGAATCATATTGTATTTTGTATTTCTGGACACAGAACTGAAAACATTTCACTTTTGACTTGGGGCATATTGTGACAAATAATATTGCACAATCAACTATTTCTTTATAGTTTTCATTTATTATAAGTAAAACATTTGTGTTTTTTCAGAAATTTACTGTATGTATTCTGTTTTACATTCCTCTAGATCCATTTTGTACATTAATTGATTCACTATTCTGAGATTTTTTTAAAAAAAAACAAACCATGGGATATTCTTTTATTTTTATAAAACTCCCGAATAGCTCACATGCTATAAGAAATTCAATAAAGTAGTTTAACATAAGTAATTATTGGCTCATGATAAATCCTCTGAGATTTAAGTCTCATTGGAAAATTAACTATTTTCCCATAGCCATTGTTAACCAGACAGAAGAAATCCAGGTCTCTTCTCCATGGGGAAGTCTACCATAGACAAATAGTATAGTATAGTAGTATTGTCAAGGAGGGGTAATTTCCTCTGCAGAATTTTTCTGAAATTAGTCAATTTTCATTATTTCCGATCAATGAAGCTATGAATTATTGCAGTTTATTTGTATTGTTTTAATTGATGTTGACTGAATTGAGAAGTTTAATTTTGATTGTATCTATTAATCTATGTATACTGGTAATTACTTGTATTATGTTGCAAACCATTTTAGGCAGAAATGGATTACTAAGAATCAAGAGGAACTTGACAGCAAATAATCAAGCAACAAGCTGTAGAAAGGCCAAATTAGAATATAACCAATATCCCAGCATTTTTTCCTATTCATCTCCTATGAATACTCTTTCACCACTATTTTAAACAACAAATCTAACCAAAAAAATCCCAGAGGGAATAATGTATTCTCTGAAAAGGTAGACATGCTTTAATATTTACCTTGTTCCTTTTTATTCAGAATTAAATTTTGCTAGATTTGTAGGACCAAGCAAATGTGGATATGACTGTAATCTTTAACAACTGTAACCTTACAATTTAGAAATTAATTGAACAGGTATTTTTGAAATTACAACTAACATGCATACAGCATTGATTTAAAAGCCAGGCAAACCTAGCAGCTAATCTAATCTAATCTAGATTGTTTAACCATTTTAATTTTACTTAACTTCTGATAAAATTATAATTCATAATGGAATAGATTGGTTCATATAGGTGTCCATAAATGTTAAATGATCAACTTTTCAATTACACCTTCTCTATACTCACCTTTTTTGTCTAAAATGCACTCTCTACTAAAGTAAGGAGATTAACCTTGTTGACAATTTAAAAGGCTTTAAAACATACTTTAACAGCGTTTTAATTGTTGATGGCTTCATTTTCATGTTTTAATTGCTACTTTAATACTATATAAAAATATTTTATGTGTTTTAAAGTATCTGCTTTGTTTCATTATAAAACATGAGATTTATATTATGTACAGCTACATTAGTCAATAGTCTAACAGTTAGAAATAAATAAAAAGGCACGCATTGACAAGAGTTCCTTTCTTCTCTTCAAGGAAAAGGGCATCATATATTAATATTTAGAAGGAAGGAAAATGATTATTTAACATAAATCTCAAATTTTTAAAACAAGTTAATTAGTAGCTGAAAATATTTTATTGGCAGAATTTTTAATGTGTTCATATTTTAAATGCCCACATTATAGGAAAACAATCAAATTACAAATGCTTGTTTAAATCATTTTGGCTTAAGTTTAATAGAAATGGCTAAATTTTAAACTGGGTAAAATTTGAGAAATAGTAAATAAATTGATACCCAAAAGAGCTGTGAGATTACAGAATACTGAAGAATATACAGTTGTGAATGCAGCAAGTAAAACTTGCATTTTATATTGGCATATCTATAGCATTCAAAATAGAAAAAATATATTATACTCTTATTTTCTTTGTACTATACAAGGAACCAAATAATATTCTTTTCCACAACAACAACTTTATGAGCTGTGTTCGGTCCAGAGAAAGTGAGTAGACCAGGTCATCCAGCTGATTTTCACTCCTAAGGAAGAACAATTCCTCATTCTGTTTTTAATCCATTACACAAAAATATATTTATATTTTACCAGATTATATGAAAAATATAAATAATGCAGATTGAAAATGAGCTTTGGCTGAAAGCAGGCACACTGACATACTTCAAAAATTCCAGTGCCAGATTTGGTGACTCACAAACATATATTCAAGAAGTAGTTCCAGTTCTATCACACCTCCCTGATTAGCTGCCCTGAATAATGACCAAGAGAAATTAATTTGGTTCTGGTTCACACAATGTATAAATTTAGCAATCGTTCTATTATCTAAAGGAAATTGTGATTTAGCATAAAATATACATACAGCTTATAGGTTTACAAACTGCTATTTCACTTATATTTCATTAACACACCTAAGCATATAACATCTATGACTCTTACAATGAAAAGGCAGAGGA